GTTAAAGGGGGGGGGGGGGGGGTAAGAGAAATGGCCAATTAAAAATATCAAGTAATATATTAGTAAAATATAGCATTAAAAAAAAGACATCGTGTTTTCACTTGAAATACCTTCCCTTCTACTTTCCTTCCTGTCCCTCCCTCTTGACACTTGTCTAAAAATTAGTTCTTAAAATCTTCGCCATGTACACATTTAGATTCACTAATCAACATTAAGTAGATAGCCTATCATTGGTAAAAGCTGTCATAGGTAGAAATGAAATGGCCAGCCCAGTTGGTATAACGCAGTGGTTGAGTGTCTGACCTCTACACCGGAAGGTCACTGGTTCAATTCCCGGTCAGGGCACATGCCTGGGTTGCAGCCTCGATCCCCAAGAGGCAGCCAATCAATGATTCTCTGTCATCATTGATGTTTCTATCTCTCTCCCCTTCTCCCTTCCTCTCTCTGATATCAAAACATTTTTTTAAAGAAAGAAATGAAATGGCCAGATTTTCAAAAGGCATATATGACTTTCCTTTAGTATGATTTAAAACAAAAATAAATCAACCATGATTATTAAAGTTGTCTGGATTAAACGCTCTGGGAGAACCTTTGCCAATGGTTTCTTTCTAGCAAGACATAACTTGAATGCTTCCAAATTAGACTAATATCAGTTTTCCACATTCTAAGAATTGTTTTAAAAGTTTATAACTGAAGAAGAAACAATGCAGAGTCAAAGCCCTGTGATTCTCCTTCCTCAAATCAGAAGGTTTCTCAGCCACTTAACACTGTCTAAACACCTATCTTTCTCTTGCTCAGTTAGATATGAAGCTGTTTTACCAAGCTATTATTAGTGTTAAGTGTACTATGTGAACATGGACATGGCTTTTGGGTTTCCTGGTCTTCTTACTTGTGCAGGAGAGAGGAGACAATTCAAAAGACCCCTAAAAGGTAAAGGTAAAATTTATGATTTTTATTTTTTTTTAGCCATTTCAATAAAAAAGAATTTCCATTCTGATCCAAATTCCATAACTGGCAAGTTATATATAAACAGACAATCAGTATAAGAAGAAACACAAATAACCAGTTACATGGAAAAATGTTAATCCTTACTATACCTACAGAAAAGCAAATTAATACCGCTACGTAAATGAAATAAAAAATTTAATCATTCACATGTATAGAGTTGTGGTAAAACCAGTAACTATTTACTCTAAACTGGTATTATCCTTCTGGAAAAGCGTATCAATATAATTACTGAAAATTAAAACATTCATTTATACTCCTCTTGTTCCAGAAGTATAATAATAATAAAATAAGCTTAGATCTTTTATCTTACTCTGTTAGATCATACTGCTCTAACAGATAACTTCAACATACGTAAAAGTTCCGTGTACATGACTCTGACCTGTAGCAGAGGCCAGGATGATTAAAAATTGAAAACAAAAAATTGGAAGCAACCTAAATATCCAACATTAGGGAACAGTTTACTGAATAAAACTGTTCCCAAATTAAAATGCTAGACTACTATACTACATTAAAATTATAACTATGAATATTATTCTAAGTCTTTAACAAGAAATGCAAACACCATATTTGCCAATGTATAAAATGTACTGCTGTATAAAGATGCATCCCAATTATACAAAGAATTTTTTGGAAAAATAATGTAAGCCTGTTATTAATACATACATTGAAAGTGATTTTAAAGTAGCTTTATAGAGAAAATATTATTTTGTCCATATAAATATACTGGAAATTAAGAAAATGTAAGTTCTGGATAATTAGTAATATTCTACAAACTGTTAGAAAACGTATAAAATCACAAAATAAAAAAGAAATCTATTGGGACAAATGAATGGTGGTACAGAGCAGAAACACATTTCAATGATTACCGATAACAAAAAGCAAGCCAATCTATCTATCTAATCTAATAAAAGAGAAACATGGTAATTAGCGTACGACCGCTACCCTTCCCACTGGCTAATTATCGAGATATACAAATTAATCACCAGCCAAGATGGCAGTTAACCACCAACAAAGATGGCGGTTAATTTGCATATGTAGGCACAATGCAGGTAGGTAAAAGGGAAAGCACGGAAGAAGCCCCCTGCCACTGACAGTGATCGGAAACCCAGGGGGGAGCTAAGAGCCGGGGGGCAGGGCCGCTTTTGCCCTGCCCCCCAGCCATGATCGGAGAATCGGGCACCTTTGCCGCACTGGCCAGTGATAGTGGGAAGTAGGGGTGGAGCCAGCGATGGGAGCTGGGCAGGGGCGGAGCCCGCGATCGCGGGGCGGCTGCAGCTGGGGGGGTCCCCTGCCCAGGCCTAATGCCTGGGTGAGAGGCATTAGGGCGGAGCCGTCAATCGCAGGGAGCAGGGGCCGAGTTGGCGATGGTAGGGTGCTGGGGGTCCCTTGCCCAGGCCTAATGCCTTGGCCAGAGGTGTTAGGCCTGAGCATGGGCAGAGCCAGCGATCGTGAGCAGGGGCGGCGTGGGCGATCGTAGGGAGCTGGGGGTCCCCTGCCCACCCTGATCCGGGACACCCTTCAGGGCAAACCAGCTGGCTCCCACCCGTGCACCAGGCTTCTATCCGATATAATAAAAGGGTAATGTGCACATGCAATTTTTTTTCCCAAATATATTTTATTGATT